TTACTTTGTTATGTAACGCAATGAAAAGGAAAGGCAACGGTAACTGAAAGGAATGGAACGGAACAGAGAAGACTACAGTGGAAAGGAAAATAATGGAGGGTAAAGTAACAGAAAGTAGCGGAAAGGAGATTACTGTAACAGAAGACAAGACAGAATGTAACGAAGAGCAACAGAAAGGAAAGAAATGTCATGGAAAGGAAAAGAATATAACAGAACAAAAATAAAAGGGAAGGAAGATAGTGGAACAGGAAGGAAAGGAGCATAACATAACTGAAAGTAATGTAACAGACTGGAAAGGAATAACGCAGGAAGGAAAAGAACAGAAAGTAGAGTAACATAGCGGAAAGAATGGTAACAGAAGAAAGTTAAGTTACAGAAAGGAAAGTAACATGATAGACAGTAAATAAACATATTGCGATGGAACGGAAATGAAATGAGAGTAACACAGCAAAGGAGAAGAACATCACGGAACATAAATAAAAGGAAAGGAATGTAAAGGAATAGGAAATACCACACCTCATAGAATTTCCTTTTTAGGAAAGTAACAGAAAGGAACGGAAGAGGAAGGAAAGAAAGGAACGCAATGGAAAGTATCATAACACAATCGAAATGGTCTTATTGGAATCAAAAATAACATAATGAAAGGGAGAGCAACAGAAAGGAAATTAATGGAAAGGAAGTCAACATAACGGAAGAAAGAATACTAACTGCAAGGAAAGGAACAGGAATGAAAGTAACAGGAATCTAACAGAAAGTAACATAACACAAAGTAACATAACAAAAAGGAGAGTAATGTCTCAGAAAGGAAAGGAATGTAACAGAAAGTTATGGAAAGGAAAAGAAAAATAACATAGCGGAAAGAAAAATAAAATAGATCTTCTTTCCACTTGTAACCTTTGTGATTTGTGTCTCTTCATTGTTGAAACCCCCCTGGCATTTCAGGCAAAGAATTATCATCATTATTCAACTCGAGTGCAGGGAATGAACGGATGTAGAACAGTTGTGTTGAAAGGGACCTACAAAGACCATGTAGTCCAACTACCTGACCAAAAGAGAATTGAAGGCATTAAAGGCACTGTCCGAATGCCTTGTTAGACACTGACAGCAAGGGGTACCAACCACCTGTTCCAGGTTTTAGCCACCCTTCCACAGATTTGTGGAATATTTTTCTGTAAGTTCATTTGAGAAGTTCCAACTTTACACCTCTAAAGAGTTGCAATATTGGTTTCAGTAAAAGAAACAAAGCTTCCTAAAACTTACCTAGTTCCTATTAGGAAGTATTCGGAAAACTGCTGAACACCTACTGCAATGCCCTACAGTTTGAAAAGCTGTGTCACTGCAGCAGGTAGAGATACCTAAACATGGCATCTAAACATTTTAATTCCACTATAAGCACCTAAAATGCAAGCGCTTGCTTCTTTGCTATCGAAACACAGCACTGCAAGTACGAGGTTTACTTAGAGAAGAGAAGGACAAGAGAAGAGGGGAGCTCTGGGACTTATCTGACAATACAGAATAGTTTACAGGGGCCACAAATTGCTGCGGGAAGCACATGCACATACGTATTTCTAGGATTGACTGCACTATTGAAATACCAAGACATCTTAGAAATCAGAACTATTTTTACTACCACAGCAACATCTGTGAGGGGCAGAATTCACCATGACTTCCTCCAGTTTACTAAATTAAGACACACTAAGGATGGATATAGTTTATGCACAGAAATACACCCAGACATACTATTTCTGCCGCATCAATTTTCTCTCTTAAAAAGGAAAATCCCACTTTTTTGCCATATTTGGGAATCTAGTACTTTAGCTATAGAACCTGCAGGTGAAATGCTGACATAATGATGAAACAGCATTTGTGATATAGCATTTTCAAGGGCTAAAGATGGGATTTTGAAGCACACATTTTCAGTGGCTTTTCAGGATACTGCCTTTGCCCCTAAAGGTTTATAGTCAAGTGATTGTGCAGCTTGCTCTCCAACAGTTTGCACCAATAAAGCTGTACTACAGTAACTGTGAAAGTAGTACATAACTGTTAAGCCGCCTTGTTTTAGGAGGCTGGATACTAGCTTTGCTACCCTAACCTGTGGGCTTTTTTCTCCAGGAATCCAACTATCAGGTTACATTTTTACACTACCTTTTTAGTCAGTAAGATATTCTTACTTGCTAATTCTACCTGAGTGAAACAAGGGATATTTAAAATATCTGTTAGTATCCTGAGTAGCAATTTAATATAGAGATGTTTGTTTAACATAGTGTTCATAGAAACATTCAGATTTGACTTTCAGGCTTGAGGGGGAAATACAGTTACGGATGTTTCCATTTATTTGAAGTATCACTATCCTACCATATGAAGAAGCTTTTCTATTTAGCATACTCCACATACTACTTACTGTTCAATGTTTTCTATTTAGCATACTCCACATACTACTTACTGTTCAGATCAAAAGGTTACTTAGCTTCATGTTCAGAAAAAACATAACTGCAATTCAGCTAGTTCATTTTCAACTATAGTACTAGTAATACTAGAAACCTGCACAATTTTTATAATAAAATTGAGAATTCTGCTCTTATTCCAATATGCTATAGTGCCGTCTTTTGTTATATGACAAGATATGCATAATTACTGCAGAGTTCTATAGGAATGTGTTACTGATTAAGCGAACTAAAGACTTCAAGTAACATACTACTACCTTTTCTCTAGTATGTATATTATCATAGAATAACTAGGGTTGGAAAGGACCTTAAGATCATCTAGTTCCAACCCCCCTGCCATGGGCAGGGACACCTCACACTGAACCATCTCACCCAAACCTTCATCCAACCTGGCCTGGAACACTGCAAGGGACGGAGCATTCACAACCTCCCTGGGCAACCCAGTATCTTACTGGTAATACTCTGTATCAGTTCAGAAAAAGATTTAGGGTGTTGTGAATGTTTTCAGAAAGTAGCTCTTTACCCTCTAGTCTTCAGTGCTAAAGCAAATCCTTAATCAAATGAAAACGAAAGCTTTAATAGCTGCAATGTGTAGGCACTACACAGTACATATGTAGGTGATGTGCTCTAAGCTATCCAAGAACAATTAGAGTAGTCTTGCCTTTGCTGCTGTTTTAGAAGCAGAGATTAAAATTACTTCCCATTAATGGTCACATATTTATTGCAGCCATTTGCATTTTAATGATAAATACATCTGTTAGGTTCTTATATCGACAACTTAAATAGTTACGCAGATATCAATGCAAGATGTCTTTTTCTTGTAAGAAAGAGTTGCTGATGAGAGTGATTCAGTTTACACAGAAAACTCATTTTTCCACAGCATGTGTCATAGCCACATGAAGAGAATGAGCACTAAATTATCTGTCTTAGTGCTCATGATCTCCTTCCCTGTGTTGCACAAGCTACTACGATGTGCTGCTTTACATGTAACATGAATGAGAAACACTGTAGTACTGGATAGGTGTATTTTTTTGTGCCTGACACCACTGGAGTGGTATTATTTTCAATTTACAAAGTTACCCTTTGAGAGTACTCAAAAGCTATAGGTAGGGCTGAACACAGCAGTTCTTCTAAAGAGCTGAAATGGCTATAATCTATCAGCAGTTTTTGGCATTGTTCCCTGCAGTGCCTGCCTGGTTAGCTACTGATACGGTTCAAGGTGCTAGTTATGATTTTAAAAGGCCTAAATGGGTTACCTGAAAGACTGCCTTTACACCTGTGCCTCAGAAAAGACTGGCTGACCTGTCTCTCTAGTTCAAGAAGGTCTGATGTTACTCCCAAAGTTTAGATCGGGCTAATTTTAGATATGGTTTTATTATACAAATGCAGACATTAATGGCAACATAAAACAATGGCCATCTGTTCTCCAACATGCTATCTACCTATGAGCACTTGACCTGGGCTCTGCTGCATGTGCCACTCATCCCCCTTCAATTCAGCTTTCCGCTCTCTGTTCCTCTCAATCTCTCCCATCCACAGACACAGACATTTCTGCTTGCAGGAAGAGGTATGTGAACTTCAGGAACTGTGATCCCTGAAGAGGCAGAGCTGCCATTTCTGCTTATGATAGTGCCTTTGCATTCTTGTTACTGAAGTTCGAGGACTTGGGTGTATGCCAGATTTTCAGTGCAAACAGACCGAAATTCAAACTCATTATGCAGACACTTGGGGGAAAGCTGGAAGACATGTCTCTTGTCTCAGTTACTCAGTATTTTGTATCAGAAAAAGTGCTGAGACAACTATCATGCATTAACAGACCAAAGAAATAATACACTCCCCATTGCAGAAAATTGACCTCTTTTTTCATTATCATCTTTTTTTTTGCCTCAGCATGGCAACACAGACAACAAAGACATCTTGATAAGTATGCCAAGATGGGAAATTGTTCATGCAAAAGTAGTGTTTAAAGTAGAAATCCACACAACAAGACCAAAAGAAGTTAATGTAGTTATATATGTGGTGTCAGCAGTTAAAACAATGTATGTTCTTCTAACACCAGTTAAAAGGACAAACAGGCCAAAAAAAGTAACTCCTATGGTTTGGTTTTTCACTTGCAATTAATTTCTCTTCCTTGCCTGTGGTGGTACATGACAGCCAGCAATACCTGGACAGAAAGGAAGTCTGACATTTGTGTCTTCCTCAGGACTCCATGAGCAACAGACATTACTGAACCCCAAATATGTTGATATACAATAACTTTGCCAAATAGCCATATATATCTACTCTTTATTTTAAATGATGATGCACCACTGAGGACAGAGGCCAGTTGAGGCTAATTAATAGCTGTGATTTGCACAGCTTATAGAATGGATAACTACTACCTTGCTCAGAGTATACTGAAGGGTAACTACAGATTCAATGACCTCTCTCATGTAAAACCTTTTAGCAAATATTTTCCTTTTGCTTAGAAATATGAATTATAAACAGACTCCTCCCAAGTACATTAAAGAAAAAAAAACAACCCAAAACCTGAATTAGCAAATACAATGCATTTACCTGTCATGTTGCAGTAAACTTTCAAAGGTCCCAGTGCCCCACTGCCATCTGGATCTATCCAGTAGTAATTTGAAGTTTTGCCCAAGTGTTTGTATGCTTCACAAGAGAGTTCATGAATAGCTGGAATGAAATAAACCACAACAATAAGGATCTTCATATCCTAGAGCAAAAAATCCATAATGACAATGAACTGTCTTTATTTATATAACAAGAACTATACCCCTGAGATTAAAGTAATGTCACTGACATTCACAGGCAACAAAGCATCTCTCCAAAAGAAATACAAGTGATTAAAACCTTGAGGCACGCAATTTGATTCTTTTGGCATGTGACAGAAAGCCAGAATAGGAAGAGAATTTCAACAACTTGTCTGGGGGAGAGGAACAACCAAACTTTAAGAGTATCTTTAAACCATTCTTGATAATACTTTGGTTCAGAACTTTGTTTATACAGTGGTTTAAGCTGTACACCATGAATGGCGACACTTCCATTAACACAATATACTTTTAGGAGATACACTAAAAAAGCTTCCCAGTTTTCTTTCCGTAAATTTTAGAATTTTTCAGGTTTTATTACAATTCAGAATAACATCACATTTCAAAACTGAAATTTCTCACTATATGGAGTATTTGTCTCTACACAGCTCTGCAGCTCCCCTTTTACTGATCTACATAAATAAGACTCTGTTCCAGTAAGGTCTAAAATTTCACCCTATTTACTGGAAGTTTAATTGCTTTAGCAGGGAGTTTTCCTTCTATTTTTTTCCTTGACCGCTCTATAGTGTTTTTTATTTTGAGTCATAAAACTGCTTGTCAAATTGTGTTACGATTAATAGCTCCAGCATGATAATAAGCCTTATAGGTAGAAGGTTTTCTAGTAACTCCCATATTCTCATTGAAACTGATGACTATTACAAAGTTGTGTATTATAAATGAATGAATTAAATCATTTCAGGCATAGAAAAAGTAAAGCTGGTAGTTTATACAAGTTGGCGTGTTTGTACACATGACTGGTAAACTATGTAAATATTTTTCTATGCAGTATTTAAGGAGGAATGTGCAATGCTGCTTTGTTTTCCAAGGAACAGATGGTGCAGCTTTTTTGTTTGGAATCAATCAATCAGCTGCTAAAGGAAATGCAATGTTTGTTTAACCAGAATTCATATCCCCTCTAAAAATCCATCTAATTTGTTGGCATTTCTTGCAAGCAATCTCCTGGCTAAGACTGGCTTTATTTCAAATGTCCATAAGGATGAGCTGTTTCACTGGGCTCTGATGAGTGACTGATCACACACAAACACACACACGCATTTAGAGGCCCCCAACTATAAAGATGCAGGAGGAAAAGCAGAGCTAAGAAAGTCTCCGATTTGGATGTGGCATGAATACAAACCTAAAAACTGTTATTGCGTATAAAGAAAATCACCTTGTTGATGCTACAAGAGAAGGGATTTCCTGGCAGGTTTTATGTGTTCATTACAGGGTCTAAAGTCACTTTTATACACAAAGTAGACACTCTTAAACACTTTGTGAAATATTCCAAGCCATTTCCCCTTCCTCCCCAAACTACAGTAAACAAATTGCTTCATTATCAAGGAAACTCTTTGCCTGTTTTCAGACACTTCATGCACATTTCCTAAGGGATTCAGAACCAGTTTTCTTCTGAAATATTTCTCTAACTCTCCATGCAACCTAAATACAATCACAGAATACCAGCCCTGTTCATGTACAGTTGTAGCAATATCAAATCTCAGATTTTACCAGATGCATTCCAGATGACAAATACTGTTTATGATCTCCCAAAAGTTCTGCTGTTTTCACTTCCTAAACTCTTTCAGAAAGTCAAGGGAGTTTTGCCTCTGCAGTATCCACATCTTTACATAGAGCCATGTAACTCTAGGTTTGCTCTTTTCAAGAACACGGGACAATCTTTGTATGGAGATACAGCCACAGTTCAGAGATAAGTGTTCTATGGAAGACAAAACCAAGTTACACTGGTTAATCAGATACTCATTTATCCCTACTGAGTATTTTTTACAGGATGTTAAAGGGTTTAGATATAACATTCTTCCTTTGGTTTTCCTGGAATGGGAAAAGGAAAGCACGGTAGGTAGGTAGCTATCAGAATTAGAACACGGAACAGGCTGCTTTTGAATATGCCAGCATTTGCTAAGCTTCAATGTTATGTCAAAGGCCAAACTGAAAAAAATCTTCAAGGACGGACAGAAGAGTGAAATATTCTACATTCAACTTGTGAAATGTCAGGAGCGTGTGATTGGGTTTTGGCAGGTTTTATCCATACGTAGTTGCATACTTAAGGAGCTTAAATATACAAGTAAATGAATGGATTCTGTCTCAAGGACAGAAATCACTTCACAGGAGTATAGGGACAAAATGAAGGGATAAGTGAAGTTGGTATACTAACAGAATAACTGGTAATCAAGATGCAATAGGAAACAGTGAACAATCATGTTCTGGTGTATGAAGACACCTGATGACAGAGACCTTTCTGTTAACTTCAGATGGCAAACGGTAGCCCCTAACTGAACCAGCAGGACAAAAGTGGCAATTAGCAGGCAGAGAAGGCAACAGCAAAAGGGATGACAGTAAGACATGATAGCAAGATGTCACAGGTGTAGAACATGACATAGAAAGGGAGACAATGCAGGATGACCTTGTAATTCAATACTACTTTTTAATGGGCTTTTGAAACACTGCATGAAATGTTCAGTCATGTGTAAGACACATGAACAGGTGAAAACAGAAATTACGAAACCCCAAGAACACCTAGAATAGATGAAAAGATAAAAACCAAACATTGTTTTAGAAGTCACCTGGGCACATTAAAATACAAAAGGATAACAGAACACAACAACAAGGAAGAGTTCACCACAAATATCAAAGTTGATGAAGGTTACAATAAAGAAGCAAAGACTTAACAGAGCCAAGAAATTAAAAGTAAGAAAGATGCAAGGTTTTCATATAGAGCCTACAGTGCTCATATATGAATAAGGAGAAATGGTTGCACATATCTACACATGCAGAAGGAGGCAGAGAAAGATAGAGAAGGGTCTTTTAGTGCTGACTTCTTCTGGAAGATGAGAAGAACCCCACATCATTGAAGGACTGAAGACACAAGGGCAATAGATTTCTGCTTTTCAAACCAGCAGAAGTAAAATGCCAGAGTGTATTTGCTTTATTGGTAGTTGGTCCAAACACACAATGTATATACCTTTAAGGAACTTCTGGAGTGTTAAACCTTAAAATCTTCCAAAAGTAAAACTCACGTTTGCCCTGATGTCCAGATAAGCCTTTTCTAGCATAATACATCCAGAATGGCTTCCTCATTCTTAACTTGACATGCTGTCACAATGCACTGCTGTCTATAGCAAGGTGTCTATTGAGAGGTGAAAACTTAGCCAGAACAGTGATCCAATGTCTTACGGCCAGGTAAAAATCACATACGAAAAGAATCAAAACCAGAAAGAGCTTAATAAAAATGCTGTAGTCTTTTAAAGTTTAATCACCTGAATAATACAGCTCAAGCAGAGAGAACCAAATCCATTTCATGCTAAAATCTGAAAGGGCTTGTGTTGTAACATAAGGTAAAACGTTTTAAAAAAGCCCCTCCAACATGAATTAACTTTTGATGTGAAACATTAAGCTTCTTAGTCTGGGTAGAAAATCCAGTCATTTTAATCACCCGACAAAGGCAACTATGAATGCATTTTGAAGTTCACATTGACTAAAATATCCACAACAGTAGGCTTGAGAAGTTTCTGTTAGTAAAGATTGACTCGGGAAGCAGACTAAGGGAGAACAGCTTAGAGTGAAACAAAACCTAACAAAAGCCCTTGTAACCAGGCAGACCTTGGCCGCATTTTCATTTTGCAGTTCTTCACAGGTTGTTTTCCACTCCTACAGCTTACCTGAACCCCAAATTGAAGGTGCCGATGGGCTGGGGAAGACACTCATTTATGAGTTTCTAGGGCCCTCCATTTTAAACAATTGAAGCAAATGGCTCAGAAAACCAGTTTTACAGAACAGCTTTTCCTAGCTCCAGACTGTTACCCAAAAGTTGGGAAAAGTCAGCTTCTGTTAGAGCTGAGTGGCTCTTCGCTGAGGGAAGCAGATGTTCTCACTCCTGTTTTACTTTCTGACTTGCATAAAGATCAAGAGAGAGTTATCCCACACAGGTGGCACAGCTGCTGGCAATCTCTAGAAGCCAGAAGAGTCAAATGACAAAAAGGATTTATCAACTCTCTCACCCTATATGAAGTTCCCATAGAGTTTCAGTAGCATCTTGGTGAACTACAGTTTCTGCATCACTATATGAAAGGGCAGCTTTAAATATAGGGCTGACAAATAGCCTCCTTTTATAAGCCCAAAACTCATTACAAATAGAAGACCTAGCATGACAGTCTGCACTATGTGACACAATGAATGTGTTATAATGTTTTGATTCCGTCAGTGAATGTGTCTCTGCAGGGAATACAGTCCTTTATACTGCTCCTAATACAGGAGTAAATCTCAGCTTTACAGGAGCACAGGAAAGGTGCAGATTCCCAGGAACTGATGGAATTAAATGATGGTAAAAGTGACAAAGTAGGCACTATATCAGAGCCACAAAGTCCAGCTACGCCTCTCCATCACTTTCAACTTCCCAGAAAAAACCTGAAAGCTAAACAGACTGCAAGGTGCTTGGGTTTACACCACTCAAGCTGCTTTCAACTCCTCAGCCCCTTAAAAAGGGCTGCAAGCACAAACAGACTAGGAAGGGGGAAGAAACCCCCAACATTCTCAAGAAACAGCTGCACACCACAATGGCATACCTGCAGTTGCTTCTAAAATAAAAGAATGTGCTTCACCGCTTGCTTTATTACAATATATATTCAGATCATCTATTGCAAAACTGAAAATGTTAATATACATACACTGTAAGCTTCTGCTCTGCTAGTGACAGCCTGTCTGTGCAACAAACCTAACCCCACCCTCACGCATTCCAATGCCGTATGGCGAAGAAACGTCACCATTTTTTAAAGTAGGTTAAGTGAACTAGAAATCTCACCATGACTCAAGGTTACATACGAGAACAAAATGCCTTCTGAATTCCATACCTGC